AAAAAAAAAAAAAAAAAGAATTTGAAGATAATGGCTCACCAACTATGCTCAGTAGTTAGGGTGCTGGCCACATGCACCAAGGCTGGTGGGTTGGAACCTGGTCAGGGCCTGCTAAACAACAATGACAACAATAACAAAAAGATAGCTGGGCGTTGTGGTGGGCACCTGTAGTCCCACCTACTTGGGAGGCTGAGGGAAGAGAATCACTTAAGCCCAAGAGTTTGAGTTGCTATGAGCTGTGATGCCACAGCATTCTACCCAGGGTGACATAGTGAGACTCTGTCTCAAAAAAAAAAAAATTTGAAGGTGGTGACAGCACAGAATTAAACCAAATCTAGGGTGCCCACGAACCTGGTCGTGAATGTAAGTAACGAGCTCAAGCTTTGGAGCTACATTTACCTGGGTACCAGACCTGGCCAATTTCAAAGACCTTGGGAAAAGCTCTGAACCTCAGTTCTCTGCCTGCAAAGTAGAAATGAAACCAGCCTCAAGGACTCAATGAGATGGCACCTGGTAAAGAGAGGGCCTAGAGAAATACTGCATCTGGTTATCCTGAGGGAGCCTAGCACCCCTCAGGCTGAGTGTGACCATTAATTAATAGGCTTCCCTTACCTGTGGTGTTCTTGGGGCACCCATGATCTACAAACAAGAGAAGATAGGGCAGTGCCTGTGGCTCAGTGGGTGGGGTGCCAGCCCCATATACGGAGGGTGGAGAGTTCAAGCCTGGCCCCAGCCAAACTGCAACAAAAAAATAGCCTGTAGTTCCAGCTACTCGGGAGGCTGAAGCAAGAGAATTGCCTAAGCCCAGGAGGAGGTTGCTGTGAGCTGTGTGATGCCACGGCACTCTACCCAGGGCGATAAAGTGAGACTCTGTCTCTACAAAAACAAAAAAAAAAGAGGAAATAGATGGGCAAGCCCAGAGTGCCCTTCATCTCCATGGAAAGGTGGAGGTGAGGTGTCCAAGGAAGCCTGGCTTCCCTGTTCACTCCAGGGCAGCCTCAGAGAAGGGAGTCTGCCCCAGACACTGAGGGGAGGGTGCCAGTATGTCATAAACAAGCTTCAGCTGATCCCAGGGACTTTCCTTCCTCCAGTGACTCAGCATTCCTAGAACTCACAGGTCACGATGGACAGGATGCTGCTTAGTAATAATTATTATAATTCATAATAACAATAATAATCTTTATAGTATTGGTACGGATATCTATTGAGTGCTTATCATAGGCCAGGCATTATACTAAGTGCTTTTAAACATACATTATCTTAGCCTCACAGCAAGGCTACAGAAGGCCCATTATTATAATACCCATTTTACAGATTAGAGACTGAGATTGCAAGAGAGTTAAGTAACTTGCCCCAAGTCAGAAGGCTGAGCTGGAGGTGAGCCAGGAACCCAAATCAGGAACTGTGCTCTGACTGGAAGACAAAGTCCCTAACCCCTCTGGGCTGGGCCTGCATTCTCTGTTCAAGGAGTCCCCGACCACCTGGTCCCCACCCAGCACCCGAAGCCCCCAATGACTACCTATAGCTATTAGAGGCCTGGCATCTGTCTTTTAAAACAAATGCCCTTGAGATATTTAAATAGTTTCCACTGAGTATGAAAAATAAAAAGGGCTTGGCTGATACAAAGAAAACCTGGAAGACTATGGGAGGAGAGAGCGAGAGGGTCCCCCAGATGGAGAAAGACAAGCAGGAGAGAATATGCACTGGAAGCCAAGAGGTGAGAGCACTCTAGCTGCCTGCCTGCTGGGACTGAGATTGGCTGCCTGGGGTCTCCTTCACTAATTCTAATGTTCGCTGACCCTTGCTAAGATGATGGTTGCTCAACTGATGGTTGCTGGGGTCCCGGGGAGAACACCAGAGAATAGAAGTGACAGGCCAGTGCCCACCTGATGACCCCTACTATAGGTGAGCAAGGGCCCAGTGAGACGAATAGCCTCAGGGGATTATGATCAGCCTCCCGGCTCCTCTGCTTGCCAGAGCTCTGGATGGAGTTCAGGGAGCCAGCAATGGGTCACCACCCTTAGTTGCTTACCACGCTTTCTTCCTCTGCAAAGCCAGCCAAGAGCACTCCCCCAGAGTTCCCCTTCTGTGCTTTTTAACTCCGTCTTAAAATTGAGCAATTGGGCTTGGCGCCTGTAGCTAAGCGGCTAGGGCACTGGCCACATACACCAGAGCTGGTGGGTTCAAACCCGGCCTGGGCTTGCCAAACAATGATAACAAGAACAAGAAAAAATAGCCAGGCACAAGTTGTGGCAGGTGCCTATAGTCCCAGCTACTAGGGAGGCTGAGGCAAGAGAATCACTTAAGCCCTAGAGTTTGAGGTTGCTGTGAGCTGTGATGCCATGACACTCTACCTAGGGCGACAGAGTGAGGCTCTGTCTCCAAAAAAAAAAAGAATTGAGCAATTCATGTTGCACTTTTATGTTTGTGCTAGGTCCACCTCTTCATCACCTCTAGATTCCCAGTTCCTAGGACAGGGCCTGGTACATAGTGGTTACAAGGAACTATTTGCTGAATATTGAATAAATGGTGCAACCTCTGATATTAAGATATTCATGAAATTAGAAATTCCACACTGATCTCATCATGCAAGATTTATATTTAAATCCCATAAAGATGTATTGAGCACCTACTAAATAC